TCTAGAGATACTCACAGAAAGCGGAACAGTCTTCCAAAGTACCGTGGGAACTGACTGATGCCGGCTCACCTCATAGTTCTGAACAAACCGATGCCAGTTGCGGCCCAAAGGAGGCTCTAAATCTGACGCTCCTGTCACTCAGTTTTCTGCTAGTTGGCCCATTGTAACAGCAGATCGGAGCCAGCGTGGGGACCAGGGGGACTGGAGCTCATCAGAGGAACTGACTCAGTCCTGCCTGTTCCCGAAGTACTGTGGGTCTGGCACACTGCACAGGTGGAAAACGGAAAAGGGTGAGTGGGTAATCATGAGGGTGTTGGCCCCGTTCTGCCCACACACACACACAAAAAAAGAGCACAGCCCACAACTATGGACCTCTTACCAGCTTGTCATGTGTTTTTTTTAAGATTGTCATCACAGAGTTTCAGCAATGAGAAACACAGATGGGAAAGAGGGAAGAGAAATCAGAAAAAACAGAACTTGTACAGATTTTAAACACACAGACCTCCAGAGTGAAGAAGTGTTTGGGTTTTGTGGAAGACCATAACTCAGTCTGAGATTGTAAAGTGCGGAACAAATTTAAAGTGTCAGAGTGAATACTAACCTTTGCATTTTGTCTGCATCTTTGCTGCCATGTGTACCTAAATGGAGAGCGAGCAAACATCAAAGCAGCTCGCCCAATAATTCACATGGAACTGCTGAAGAAACGGGTAGACAAATTCATTTTGACGCTAGTCCCCCTTGACTTTGACGATCTGTCAAAACCTCACCAATCAGGCATTATCCTCGTACCGATATTCTCTCCTTCCATCTTTAGAGTGTTGTGAAGGGTGTAAGCTGGAAACGGGCTGCCGTTGTTTCCTTTGCAAAAACACCTGTCTAAACAGCAGCAAAGCCAAGGGCGAGTCTCGCCTGTCAGAACTGGTGACAGCGCTTGACTAAAATTCAGCAGAGACATATCCTAAGACATCCACTCATGCGAAACAATGCACATGTGCTGGAATGACCTCACCTGGGCAGCCTCACTCGCCATTAGGACCCATGCTTGTTTGTCTTGGCTCCACAACCGAAAGTTGCATTTACCAACACCTGAGAGGATGTAAAATGGAAAATATCCACAAAAAGGTGGTGTTTGTCTTGTTTGTTTCAAAAGGGCTTCAGATGCGCTTAATCCCTCCAAATATGTCGGCATATTTGGTGACACTGACTCAGCTCAAACCCTTTCACAGCTGTGTGACAGCAACTAAAGCCTGAACAATGTAGGTGACTCATTAATACAGCTTACAACCATTTATACAGCAGTCTGGATCGTCTGTCCTGAGTGGACTTAGGAGCTTTTACAGTGAAGATTTACTGAACAAAGACCAGGAGGCTCATTAGCTACCAGGGATTAGTTTGATCTGTATAGGGAAGGATCACCAGGGCGGTCAAGTTTCTGCCCCTTACGCTTAAATTTCATTGCATGGATCGTTAATGTGCAACATCCTTATCGCTGTTGGTCTAGATCTTATCCTCTGCCGCTCGCATCACCTCCTCCAGGGCCTCTTGCTTTCGGAAATTGTTGTCAGCATCAAGAGAAAAATTGCAGTGACACCGAGCCTCGAATGTGGCACAAACTTTCAAAGGTTGAGTAACAAGAAAGTCTGCACACATTGTGCAGAGCTCACTTTGAGAGTAGTAAGTGTATATGTCTCAAACTCACATCAGTTGCCGATCACAATAATTTAAATAACAGCAATTTAATAATGAGGCATACAATAGCTGAAAAAACATACAATCTGATTTTCATAATGTTTACATTGACAGAAAAAATATAAATGATTTTAACTGCTTCGTTTTTAAGCTATGTGTGTACTGACATTAATTTCTTTTAGAAGAAAAAATAAACATCTAATCTGATATTTCCTTGAGTTTACTGAATCAGCACATTGTTGGAATCCACATGCATGCAGCTGAATACTAACATCTAAATATTACAATCACAACGTGAATTTAAATACTGCCATCAAAAAGACAGAAGGAGAAATAACTCATCGTTAACCAACAATACTCCTACACAAGGATCAGGTAAAGCCATAGTTGGCATGTTCATGATGGAACAAATGTATAAATAGACCTCCCCTGTATTCCATAGCCTCATAATTAAATGTTAATTACATTCAAAAATAAAAACTGTACTTTATGTTCTTAGATGAAGAAATTGACATGTTTTGTTATAAAAAATGTGCTTGTGCACATTCCTTTATGTAAAAATATAATAAAAGTGACAAATCCCAGAAATGTAAAAATCACTGACCATTTTCTGCTAAATTCCTGAACAATAGTTTTAGAAATACGATTTCTATTTTTTTATTCGTTAGCTTACTGCCTTTGTGTATTTACTTGTACTTTATTTTTCTTTGTTTTCCTTTCTCCTTTTCTGGTGCTTTAACGAGTGAATTTGCTCACTGTGGGATTAATAGTCTATTCTGCAGGAGATGTGAGAGAAAATGGAAAAAGGACAAACTGCATGGCTCCCTGATTGCCCTAAGGGAAAGCTGGAAAAATTATCAGGAGTTTGTTAAAAAGGCAAAGACTGACTATTATTCAAACCTAGTCGCTTCTAATTGTAACAACTCTAGAATGCTTTATGCCTCAATTAATGCTGTGATAAATGTGGATAATGGTTTCCCTGCACAGCTATCAGACGAGATGTGTACTAGTTTTCTTGGATTTTTTTATTGAAAAGGTAGCATTGTTGCGTTCTGCACTGTCAAGAGCAAATATGCGAACTCCCTCATTTCCTTTGGATAGACATTTAGTCTTTTCAGCCAGTATCCCTTGATGACTTAGTTAAGTTGGTGGACGTAATAAAAACCGAGTGGATTTCCTGAAGACATCATACCACCACTGCTGCTTAAGGAAGTCTTTCATGGAATTGCACCATTAATATTGAAAGTTATTAATAGCAGTTTGGTCTCTGGCTATGTCCCAATTGGTTTTAAAAAGACGGTTATTAACCCACTGTTAAAGGAATCGGGGTTAGATGGTATGCAGCCTTGCAACTACTGGCCGATTGCAAAGCTCCCTTTTCTGAATAAAATTCTGGAAAAATGTGTCTATACTCAGTTAATGGAGTTCATAGAAGAGTCTAACATTAAGGAAACTTTTCAGTCTGGCTTTAAAGCTTTTCATAGTACGGAATCGGCACTGATAAAGGTATTAAATGACATTATGTTGGAAACCGATAGGGGAAATCCTGTGCTACTTGTTTTGTTGGACCTTACAGCTGCGTTCGACACTGTGGACCACAAAGTGTTGCTCCATTGGTTGGAGTATAATGTCGGAATCTCTGGTCTGGCCTTAAGACTGGTTCAGATCTTATTTGAAGGATAGGACTGTAAGTGTAAGGATGGGTGGGTTTAGTTCTGGATTCACACACCTGCAGTGGGGAGTCCCACAGGGTTCAATATTAGGACCACTATTGTTTTTGATTTACATATTGCCACTGGGGGACATCATGAGGAAGTATGGAATTCGATTTCATATGTATGCTGACAATTGCCAACTTTACTTACCCTTGGATTATAGAAGCGACTGTCCCATTATTACCTTAATGCACTGTCTAACTGAAGTTAAGTCATGGTTGACGGGCAATTTTTTATGTCTGAATGAAAGCAAAACTGAGGCAGTGCTGTTTGGGTTACATCATGATTTAGAGCGATCAAAACTAGATTGTAGGGATATGAATGCCTACCTACGTTCTTCGGCAGTCAACTTAGCAGTGACATTAGATAACGCTTTCACCTTTGATGCACATGTGGGTGCGGTTGTATCGTCCTCTTTTTACCACTTGCGACGTCTGGCCAAAGTGAAGTCATTTTTAACTAGAAAGGACCTCGAGACTGTTGTGCATGCATTCATCACCTCTCGTTTAGACTACTGTAACTCTGTCTTAATTGGGTGAGACAGAGTACAGTTGCTCGTCTGCAGCTTGTGCGAAATGCTGCGGCAAGATTCCTAGAAGGGAAAAGGAAATATGATCATATGACACCCATCCTGGCAGATCTGCACTGGTTACCGGTCGTTTTTAGAGTGTGTTTTAAAATTCTTTTATTGGTTTTTAAGGCATTGAATGGGATGGCACCAGAATATTTATCTGACTTGCTACAGCCATATATACCTAGTCGTTCGCTCCGCTCAGTCGCCATATGCTTCTAGTCCCCGCAACTAGGCTCAAAACAAGAGGAGACAGGGCTTTTTCGGTAGCAGGCCAAAAATTATGGAATGATCTTCCATTATCTGTGCGACTCTCCATGTCAATAGAGGTTTTTAAGAAGGCGCTGAAGACCCATTATTATAATTTGGCTTTTAAATCTGTGTGTTAACTGATGTTTTGTATTTTGCTGTTTTTAATTTTTTTTTATTGGGTTCCTATATATTCTTTGTTTTTATCTTTTTAGTTTAGTCTTGTGCAGCACCTTGGTGACATGATATATGTCTGTAAGGTGCTTTTATAAAGGTGATGATGATGACGATGATGATGATGATATTCTATTCTAACAAACTGTTATTTTTCTGCATTTAATGTAATTTATTATTATAAATTTATTAAGTCTAAATGTATGTATTCTTCATGGAACCATGGAGGATATATTGGGATACTTTTAACATCTTCATGAAAGTTCTTACCTGTTGTTTTCAGCCCAGTTAAAACAGGACACCTGTGGCCTGCTGTTGAGGTCATTAAGTCACCTCTGATTCAGAGTGGAGATAAATGTGGTCAGCTATCAAGTATGACTGTCAGCAGACAGTGAAAATTTTGTTATTGTTTTCTGACCCATGAGCTTTCAAATGAAGACATGATTGTTTTTAGAAAAAAAAATTCCCATCTAAAACCTTCTTTTATTTTCTGATACTATATCATTGGGAACATTGCATTCAGCACTCTACCACACAAGTTTTGAAGATTCATATAAAATAACAACCACATCATGCGTTCACACAAGAATACACTTTTTGGCTTCCATGTTGCATTTTTTTTATTTACAGACAAATCATTGTCGCTTTGCCATACCATGTATATATATACTCAGAGTTTAAACAACATTTACACAATCATAATTTACAAAATATTTTCAGAAATTTTTAACCAGTGGCAGAGGGTTTAAACTTGAGCATAGTTGCTTTTACTGTACCAATATATAATTTACACAAAAAGCATATTTGATTGATGGACACAGTAAATCATGACAACATGTTTAACCACGTTAAAGCCGTACAGATGAAACTGATACTATGGGTGTTTCTCAATGCCAAGTCACCTGGCCTTGCGAGGCGATGTCTTGTGAGGCCAGGCGCCTTGCTTACGAGGACACTGGCCTTCCTTGGTCAAAGAAAACGGTTAAATGGAACAGACTTGCATCACGTGACCACGGCGGTCACGCAACGTCGTGACATGGGAGATAATGTTACATTTTGTATGTATTAGTTTCAATATAAATATATAACGAGCCTTTTACTTTTAAAATTGTGTATTTGTTTATTAAATTAAAAATATAAACGAGTTACTAACCGCTAGCCACCAAAGCTGCAACTAATTAGCAACTAACCAATAATAGATAACTTCTTTGGATCTAAAAAAAAACATTTTAAATTAGCTGACTTACTTTTAAACTTGAAAATTGTCCCCGAAGTAGCTGCCGGCTCCTGATCCTCTGTCTTTTTGAAAATACCGCTGTGTATTGTGGGTAATTTTTGACCAAGGCTAGGCTACAAGACACCTCCCGTGTGTCCTTGCTCAGCTAGCTAAACGGCTAACAAACGGAGAACACACGCCTTGGTAGAACATGAACACTGGAACCGATTGGAACACGTCTTGGCGGGTCCTGGTGACGTATCTCCTAGGCAACTGGGGCGGGGCCAAGACACCAAGGCACGGTTCCTTGACATTGAGAAACACCCTATGTTGGAAGTAAACGACACATTAGCTTTAGCGCATCATAGCCACTCTGTTACCAACCTCTGTTCTACAACGGACAGTTACATAAGGCTATGGAGAGTAAGCCAATAAAACATTTACATCCACTGACTTGAATGCTAATTCCTTTAGCTTTATCCTAAAAGCATCAGACTTTTCCTTGGGAATGTGAAAGTTGAATCACTAAAATACATTTTCATTTCTAAGAGAAACACCTCATTCGCAGATCTACCACCTGAACAGCATAGACTATGTCTGTATGTATTTTGAAGAACTAAACAGGAAATATTCATTTGTATATCATTGTTAACACGTTAATTGGGAAATAGGAAGATGAGATTCAATTTCAGTTAGTAACTTCTTTTGGTCTAGCTAATGAGTAAAAGATATGAGAGAATTACAGAAGAACAGAACGAACATTTGGTTTCAGCTTCACATTTTTACCCAAAGATGTAGCATATTTTTTTTATTTAAAAACATTCATTAGAGGCATTAATGCTGTCTTGAAAAAATTCACTGAAACTAACAGTGATGGCAGAAGAAAATCTAATGTTTTACAGCACCAGTGACTAATTTCAGGGGCTATGCTCCTCCTTAAAAGGACCGGTCTCACAGTAAAGTAGAAACCCGGTAGAAGCTTTGAGAGTGTCAAAGAAATAAAACGATAGCTGCATGTAAACTTGAAAAAAGCTTAGGACCCATTTTCCTTCTTAGTGAACCACCCAAGAACTTGCTCCTGCTGAATATCCGAACTACACGCCAAGGCCTCGGAGCCACGCAGTCTGTTTTCCATCCTCCCTTACAACCGGCACGCAGGAACACAGAGACCACGCTCCCAACACCTTTCATCCATCGACCAGAAACTCCAAACAGACTAATACTGACTGAAGACAACTTAACGTCTGTGTGTGTGTGTGTGTGTGTGTGTGTGTGTGTGTGTGTGTGTGTGTGTGTGTGTGTGTGTGTGTGTGTGTGTGTGTGTGTGTGTGTGTGTGTGTGTGTGTGTGTGTGTGTGTGTGTGTGTTTGTGTTGGAGGAGATCACTGCACCACACACATGGAGCTGCGAGGGTGGTTGACTGTCCTGGCCACGGTGTCCTGACTGTAGTTGACAATGTCCGCCTTCACGACACGCTGTCAAGACAAAAACACACACACAGATTTGAAAAAGCTGCGACGATTATTGCATCACTTTGGTGTCTACTGCTGAAGAGATACAAAAACTGACATAATGTTTATAAATGAGCTAATCCCTTCACCTAAATAACGTCCGACTTACTCCGTGTCTGTTCTGTAAACACGAAGCTAAAAGGAGGGTAAACACGTCTCTCTCCTGGAGTAACACAACCCAAAAACACTCCTTCATTTACATGGTTAATTCTGTTTGTTAAATATGTGCAGAAACTGAACTGCTTTTCATGACGGAGCAGCAGTTTAGTTGCTGACTGTTGGATTATTGGTCGTGCTCAGCCTGGAGTGTGCTGTTGGTCTGAGTCTGAGTAAGCATTTAACTCAAACTGCTGAGTTGTTTCTTTAATATTTCTTGGAGCACAGCTCATAATCCATGCCAGCGTTTGAAACCATGGTCTAAATGAATGTTTGAAGAGCAGCAGGAGTCGTGTTCATTTCATCATGACAGTTGAGCAGAGAGAAAAAACTCAAATCTTTATTAACACAACATTGGGATTGGGATTATAAAAAAATTTTTTAAACTTTATCTGAACTAATGGGATCTAAAAACTAATCTACTGTTTCCTACAGCTACAGTTTGTGTTTTCTAGCAGCTTTACAGCAGATCTACCGAGTAACAGTCAGGACCTACTTCCAGCTATTGAACTGAACATATTTTGCTTTGCTGAGTGTTTTCTTGTGTAATTGGCCCTCCATCCTGCGGGTAGTCCACCAGCTCAGCTTTCACAATCCTCTGAGCAGCAAACAAATAAAGCAGAAAAAGAAAATACAGAACAATGACAGAAGCAAAAATTAACAGAAGGGGGGAAAATTATTATAAATAATGAAGCAGTGGACGAATAAGGACATTTAAAATACATCTAAACTAAAATATAAATTTAAACAAACCAAGTCAAATATAGGGTAGTGTATATTTAATGAACACAGCTAAGCTATTTACTAATCTGAAACTAGTTTTAAAATATGTTAGAACTTGTAAGAAAAACTACAAACAGAATAAATTCAAACTAGAGCTCAGTTTGATCCCAAAACCACTGATTTTTACTAATTTATCTGTTTGATTTAGAATTTTCACCGAAACTCTAAAGCTTAATGAACTCATTTAGACTTTTAGTTGATCGTCTTATTTAGAATGGCTTATTCTTACTAATAATCTCACATTAGCATTTATTTGATGCAAATCCCACACCACTAAATGGGCCTAATTTTGCACGGTGTGAAGCGGAGGCAGCGGGCTGGCTGCCTGATGAACGAGCTGTCGAAGCCTGGTGTCGGGGTTACTGAGTGATACGTGCTCTCACTATCTGATCGAGCAGACAGAAGACCATGATGGAGGGGACTGCCAGGCAAATATAATGCTGTCGGAGGTTGTGACCCTCATGTTCGGCTCTCTAAACATGACAGCTGATAATGAGACTTAGCTCGGCCTGCAGCTACACCCAGAGCCGTGACCCGCTCCAAGCCTCAGCTCTGTAACCATGACTCAAACTTTAAACTATGTCTTTCTGAGAATTTGTGTTCTCTGATGAAAAATGGCAAACCATCCTGTATTTAAATCCCATGTGGGGGGAAATGGTTTTATTCTGACTGCTGTCTTTTTTATAAGGTGTTAACTGACTGGCTGAATCCACTTGTGGATAATAAACAAAAATGTTATATATTTTTGGTTTTGAGCATTAGTTATTCTGGTTCATCCAGGCTTTAAAAATGAAGTTTAAAAAAAAATAGGAAAGCAATCACAATTGATACGAAAACAAGACTTTACCAACTTGAATCCCTGATATTTAATATAGATATTTATATATAAGTTTTTGGAAAAGGAAATTTTTGCTGTAAAATTTTTGCTAAACATCAACATCACTAAAAATATCATAAAATACTAAATCAGGCAACAAGATAATTTAACACAGGTATCAACCTTCATTCACATTCATACTTTCCTCATGTATATTGTTTTTATACTAAACATTAAAACATATAACTCTCCCAACCATTTTTAGGTGATTATATAAATAGTCTTTTTGTTGAGGCATAAACTGGGCCTAGCCTATCACCCAGTCTGATTTGACTGGATTAAAGCACTTTACTTAACTGACAGGACTATCGAAGGGAGGGCTGGGTGAATAAAATAGATGGACAGTTCCATTAGTGTGAAGCCATTTTCAGTTAGTGAGCAGCCCCGTTGGTGATGGGAGTGGAGTTTGAGAATTTGGCCTGTTCTTCCCCTATATGCTCTCTCTTCTCAGGGGGTCCTGACCCCTCTGTAGCCCTCAGGCTCATCAACCATTACCCAGCCAGTGTGGCTCCAGCCGCTCATATCAGACCCAGGATTAATGCTTGTGTGGGAGGTAACCTTGTAAATCCTACAACTGCCACCACTGGGCATCTTGCTCTGACTGGCAAGCTGAGGCTGCCTCATCCAGAAACGGTGGGAGATAAACTTAATAAATCAGACAGCTACCCCTAACCTCCTCACCCCTACGACTGCCTTCCTCTGACCCCAGACTTCATACATTAATGTGGTCAGTGTGGTTCTATTTACAGATGGACAGCATCAGTGGTAGGTTGAGCATCACTGGAGGCAGACGTAACAAACTCATGTTTACACAACAAGTCTCTTACATTGTGTGGTAACCTTTGGTGACCTAACACACTCCCTGTGACCTGGCTTAAGTTCATGCATAACACTGCATATATTCCATGGGGAGAATGAACCAAAAAAAAAAAACTTTCCTTAAGAATGAAGGGGGAAAATTTGTATCCTGATTAGGACCAAATAAGTTGACTAGAGACAAAAAAAACATGCCTATGACTCACTCACCTGGGACTGTTCTATTTCTGCTTTATTTAGCTTTATACCAAGAATTTCAGCAGCCACTCTCTGGAAACCAAGATACACCTAAAGAAGGATAAAAGATAATAATAAAACAAACAAAATATAAAAAAAAATAAAACTACTGATGACTTGTAAAAGTAGCTAACACTAACCGAATCTCCTGTCTTGGCTGACACAAACTGACTGATGAGGCCATTCTCCTGGCAGAAGCGCTGGTGTTTGTCTGCCTTTACGGTCCTCATGTGCTCCAGGTCGACTGTAGACAGAACATGTGAGGAAACTTACACAAGATGGATAGATAGATTTATGTGGTGGTTAAACAGCACTCTCACAAAGCTAACTGTTACAAATCAGAACATAAACAGAGAAGATAACTGTTTACACTTGAGTTAAGATGGAGGGGGTCTGTCTAGAGTGCAGGGATGGTGCACATAAAGACTTGAGATAACAAAGCATTTTTTAATTATGTTGCTTTTAAAGCCATTCACTGAAGATTCACTAATTGCACTTTTTCATTTGTGGAATCATTTTATGAGCAGGAATGATCCAAGTAGCTTCCATTCCCAGCTGGTTTAAAGCTGGATGTGACACATTCCTCGGTGTAAGTTTAGTACTGTTCCACCCTGAAGCCATGAACCCCTGTTTGACCTGAAACAGAAAAACTAGCCCAGCTGAGGAGAAAAGCTTCAGAAACAATGCATGAATGACCAAAGACTTGAGGCTACACTGGCAGTGTGAGTGTAGATGGCGAAAACAGCTTGACTTATGAGCGTTCTGGGCCTTTTAGGCGGCTGCAGGGATCCCAGATCTGGGGCCATTACCTACATACTGATTTAGTGAGATGACACAATGACAGCATCCTTCTTTTTTTTTTTTAGCTTTTGTGAAGATGTCGCTGTGCATTTGACTCCTGTGCAATGATACTGGGAGCTCAGCTTCTCTCCTTCCTTACTATGGGGTCACACTGGGGTCAACCAAAAAGGGTCACCTGGGGGTCTTGAAGCTGAAAGCAATAGCTTCGTTCTTTATTTCTGGCTTTGTCCAGGAAGGTGGGCACGCCCGGTATCTGGTGCATACATGTCTGTGTTAGCTAGAGGAGGTCAGACTACTGTAAGGTGTTGCATTTCTCTCATCCCCTTCCTGAGTTTTTGTCTTTGTGTAAGGTTTCATTGAAGTTGTGAAGGATTTACCCTGTTCTCATGCCCCTAAGTGTGTGTGTGTGTGTGTGTGTGTGTGTGTGTGTGTGTGTGTGTGTGTGTGTGTGTGTGTGTGTGTGTGTGTGTGTGTGTGTGTGTGTGTGTGTGTGTGTGTGTGTGTGTGTGTGTGTGTGTGTGTGTGTGTGTGTGTGTGTGTGTGTGTGTGTGTGTGTGTGTGTGTGTGTGTGTGTGTGTGTGTGTGTGTGTGCGCGCGTGCGTGCGTGTGGAGATGGGAGACAACAGAAAGACAAGTATGTCTGTCCGGACGGACGGGCGTGCATACGTATGTACATACATACATACATACGTACATACCTACGTACGTATATAGGTACATAAAGAGAGCAAGAGAAAGAAACATGTTTATATATACAACATTTCTGGATTACAATAGACACTTTTGAAGTTTTTCAAAGTCCCGGTTAGACTCTCGTGAATGTCACTGCACATAAACACAAGTGTCTCAAAGGCGTCAGTAAGTTATTTATTCCATTCATTAACAACGGAGTTACCCAGCATGCTGCTCGAAGTAAACACAGCTAATCCGTTTGATCCTGTACACTTGGGGAAAGTTATCAATCATATGTCACAAAAGATAAACAAACATTATAGCTAGAGCTCAAAAGCTAAGGAAAGTGACCAAAAAAGCGCATTTTCGGTTTTCAGTCGAAACACCTAAAGCACCGAAACAACACAGCCGTAACAGGCCGTCAGGTGAACCCCATTTTCGTTTCATCTCACTCTGCTCTCATATGGAAACTTGCTCTTTGCTTCATAAAAATCATACATTTGTACTGATTTCTAAAGCAGAGTTTTTCCCCTTTTAGTAATGCTGTTTTATTGCAATCTCTGCAATATTCATATCAATTATGTGAATAGAAACATGCAAAGTGTTTCTCAGATTGAAGTTACACATCTCCACTATCTTCTGGTGTAAAGTAATAACTTCATGAGGGATTATTTTAGCAGCTGTGGTTCATTAAATGCAATATTGCAACTTTGGCGTTTATTTCAAGGTAACTGTGGCAACACTGCAAATGAGTTTGTTGTTGTTTTTTTTTTTGTTTTTGTTTTTTTTGGTGACGTACAGGAGCTAAAGGTTTGGTTATTTGCCTGCGTCTAGTTAAAGAAAATTAATATTGCTCCTTAATTTTCAACCTAGAGTCAGATGTAATTTAAAGTCTCAGGACAAAGTTCTTAAAACGAAATTACTTTGTCAATATATAATTTACTCTAATGGCTAAACAAACATGAGTATGCCCGGTTTTGTAATTGGCAAGGTTCGCAATTTATAAACTGTGCAACTCCATTTAGTCACAGAAAATTAATGTAGGTGGGTCTACTTTTTCACTGAAAGAATTTTCAGCCTGTGGCATCAGTCTGTGTAAACTGAATACAAGGCTAATCCCAAAGTTTTAGTGTTTTGCTCCATTTTTCTCACTAATGTACCCATTTCTACTTATCAGGTCAAAACAATCTTCATCCAATGATCTGGTTTCCCTCCATTTCTGTCAAAATGTACATAAGCTTAACAACCCCTAGGAAGTGACTGCAAACACGAAATAAACTGTTTAGGCCTCTGAGCACATAGAGATAGTAGAGAGGGTCATCACTCGTCATGAGTAATTACCCTCCCTCTCTCTGGTCACCATCAGTGTTTATTTAAAAGGTCTGCCTGTCATTGTGTTGAATTACTGGACAACAGAGATTGATATCAGGCGGATGAATTGGGCTTTTACCGTAAATAATTGATATGTTTTTGTGATGGGAAACACCAAATGAGACAAAAATATAAATGTAGATCTTCACATTTTATGTTGATCTGAGTCCAATTATTTCATGGAAAATATCTTCTCACTGGCAGATCTAATTATTCTGAAACTATAAAATATGAAAGGAGATTTTAGTCAAAAACTGACACTGTAATACGTCATATTGGACTCTTGTATTGTCACAGTTGGCTGACAGATGTTTTTATGACAAAACACTGAGCTAACAGGTCCAATAGCTCATTTCCATCTACTGTTTTGGCATGGAATGGGAAGGACCGGATCGCTACTTTTCCTGTTCTGATTGTAATACCTGTCCAGACAACCTACCCGAACCGAGCCAGTCACGGGGAATTTTTTTGGCCCCCTTCTGTTGTAGGCCCAGAAATTTCTGGAGTGGTATGGTTAATCGTTGTACATGAATGTGAAAAAATGCCAAAAAGTAGCAGCAAGTTTTGGTCACCTGCAGAGCTCCATACATCACTCACCGTCATCATGAGAGCCCACACTCAGGAGGTGCTAGATGAATTGGTAAGGAAGTTTGTTTTCTCGGCGGATGGAAGCCGAAGGATTCGAGCGTACGTTGAAACGGTGTCGGGCCAAGCTGAAGAAATTAAAGCTCAATATAGAAAAGTTAAGGACTGAAACGGCCAGAGAGGATTTTATTTTCCGGATTGGGAGAAATACATGGAGATGCTACGACGCACTGGATGCTATTTATAGTCACAGACCGGCAAACCGAGGCAGGCCTAGACTCAGCAACCACACTCTGGAGTCACACGTGCAGCCTGTGGTAAGCATTTCGTTTTTGTCTCTCTGTAGACCATTTATTGCAGCACAAAAATAATGAATAGTTGCACAACTTATTTTTAAAATTGCGTGTGACGTGTCATTCTTCTGGTGTCGGTACAGGATCGGCTTGAGGTCCTTTGACTGCCGATGACGTCACATTACTGCAAATCTACTCGGCTTTCACACATACGTTTTGGAAAGACATCAGCAGTTTTGTTAATAAATTCTTATTTAACACCTAAATGTTTTCTTCATAGTTGTAATTTGTTAATACCGTATTATCTTTGTTTTGTAACGAATGTAAAACTGCATAAAACCAACCTCGGATTGACAAAAAAATAGAACAGTTCTTATATGTGAAGCCATATCTGTTTGTATTAATGTGGAGTTCGTCTGCATATTTACTTAGTTGTTATCTAAATACATTCTTTGACTCAAAATATTGCTTGGTGTCTTTCAATAAAGTTCTTATATTTTATTTTATTTATCATTTGCTTATATTTTACATTTCATTTAGAAATTCAAACATATTTTCTCCAAAAACTGTTGATATTTGGACTACAGGACTACAACCGCTAAGACTACGACCGCAAATTTGTTTTGACCAATCAAAATCATAACATGATAACGTCACTTCCGTAAGCTTCATGTTCAGCCAATCAACTACTTTGACGTCATCGGCAGTCGAAGGACCCCAAGCCGATCCTGCACCCCGAGCAGATCCTGTACCGACACTGGCTCTTGGGCAGTACAGACATTTTTTTCCTCCTCTCGTCCCTATCTTATCCCCAAGGTTCTTTGTCTGTCTTTGCGTGTACGGAGCTTCTACATTTTTTCTGGAAACTGGAAATTATTAAAAATGGACCTGGTCACTCAACGCGATTGACAAAATTTTCTCAACAATGAGAACAGGAGAAGGGGCTCCCGGGTGCCCCTCTGGGACAGATCCAGTTGGGCACATCATGGACTCCTGGAAACAGTTGAACCCGATTTGCCTATCTCAGCTGTCTATAGAAAATTCTGAAGATGTCTGGATATTCGCGGTGTTCATAGGCGTCATTTTAACCGAGGACACCGGGGACATGTCCCCGGCAAAATTTGTGATTAGCAGCTATGTCCCCCCCACTTTCAAAAAAGCCTGCTGATGAGGATTTTTGTTTTACCAGCTCAGATCTTATACCAGGGGTCGGCAACCTGTTCCCATCAAAGAGCCATTATTACCTGTTTCCCGCAGTAAAGAAAACACCGCAGCAGCCGCGGCGTTGTGGGCGGGGCCTAGTCTCAGACAGCAGAGAGCTGCTCACATCAGGTGACAGCAGCCGGTACCATGGGCGTCGCACCCGTGGGGGATTCAACACCCACACTTTTCCAGCTGTTTTGCTCACCTCCACACCAGTCTAGTTTCTTTATGTCGCACTCACTCTGTTTGCCTCATCTCCATCTTCACCTCCGCTTCTGACAGCCGATGTCGGGTTTCCAGGAGAGCAGGAGAGGGAGGG